CCCCCCCACCATTCCCTCGACGCCCTCCCCCCCCCCAGGACCTCTGCTCCATCCAACCACCCCTTCTCCCTGTCCCCTGACTGCCCCTGGAACCCCAGCCCCTGACTGCCCCCTGCTGTCTCATCCAACCCTCCCTCCTTCCTGACTGGCCCTCCGGGACCCCTGCCCCCATTCAACCCCATTTCCTGAGGTCCCTTCCAACCCTGATATTCTATGATTCTATAGGAGGGTTGCAAGTGCTTTGGAGGATAGGATTAAAATTCAAAATGAACTGAACAAATTGGAGAAATAGCCTGAAGTAAAAAGGATGAAATTCAATAAGGACAAATGCAAAGTACTTCACTTAAGAAGGAACAATCAATTGCACACATACAAAATGGGAAATGACTGCCTAAGAAGGAATACTGCAGAAAAGGATCTGGGGGTCATAGTGGCTCACAAGCTAAATATGAGTCAACAGTATAATGCTGTTGCAAAAAACAAAACAAACAAACAAAAAAACCCCAATATCATTCTTGGATGTATTAGCAGGAGTGTTATCTGCAAGACACGAGAAGGAAGTCTTCTGCTGTACTCCAAGCTGATTAGGCCTCAACTGGAGAATTGTGTCCAGTTCTGGGTGCCAAATTTCAGGATAGATATGGACAAACTGGAGAAAGTTCAGAGAAGAGGAACAAAAATGATTAAAGGTCTAGAAAACATGATCTATGAGGGAAGATTGAAAAAATTGGGTTTGTTTAGTCTGGAAAAGTGAAGACTGAGAGGGGTTGTAATAGTTTTCAAGTATAATTCTACCCCGATATAACGCGACTTGATATAACACGAATTCGGATACAATGCGGTAAAGCAGTGCTCCAAGGGGGGTGGGGCTGCGCACTCCGGCAGATCAAAGCTAGTTCAATATAATGCAGTTTCACCTATAACGCGATAAGATTTTTTGGCCCCCGAGGACAGCGTTATCTCGGGGTAGAGGTGTACATAAAAGATTGTTACAAGGAGGAGGGAGAAAATTTGTTCTCCTTAACCTCTGAGGACAGGACAAGAAGTAATGGGCATAAACTACAGCAAGCGCCATTTAGATTGGACATTACGAAAAACTTCCTAACTGTCAGGGTGATTAAGCACTGGAATAAATTGCCTAGGGAGGTTGTGGAATTTCCATCATTGGAGATTTTTAAGAGCAGGTTAGACAAATACCTGTCAGGGATGGTCTAGATGATAATTAGTCCTGCCAGGAGTGCAGGGGACTGGACTAGATGACCTCTCGAGGTCCCTTCCTGTCCTATGATTCCCATTGAAAGCCTATAGACTCACCTTAAATTTCTGCTTTCTTTGAACTTGAAACCTTTTGGCTTTGGCACCACAGACAGGGGCAGATCAACATCACCCTACCTCTTTCCTTTAGAACAAACACGTGGAGGGCAAGCTAGTCTATTTATCGCACCTAAAGCTGGGTACACAGTCTGTCATGAGGATTTCTTAAAGTACCAACATCCTGCCTTTTCCAAGAACACCAACATTCAGTGCCAGACCTCCAGCACCCAGCTAGGATTTTCATACCATTCCAGCTCTCAGTTTGAAAGGCTAAGCGATTCAAGAACCAGGAAGGGAGGCAGCTGACAGGAGAATTCTCTGTGCCAGCTGAGACAAGTCTGTTTGTTGGTGGCTTGGTAAGGGCTGTATGGCTCTGACCATTGGCGAGCTGGATCAGCCCTGCTGTTTGAAGTCTCTGAGTGGTTAATTGCTCTCTGCATTAGGCTTACCATTAACCAGACCTTAACTGTTAACACCGGTGGCCGGCCTGCTAGAGCAGCCCAGGCCATGTCGGGCCTGCTGGCCAGAGGGACCCCAGTCCCAGCCAGGCTGGCGGGACCCCGACCGCAGCAGACAGGCAGGACCCCAGCCCCGGCGGGCAGGCCAGAGCAGGCTCCTGGCTGTGGCAGGTGGGTTGGCGGGATATTTACATCCCTACTATACACTGTGGCTAGCTGAATGGCAGTGGCTTTTAATCATCCCCAAGTGGCATCCTTTTTGACAATAGTAGCCACATGCTAGGAGCATCCCAGGTAACATGGTATATTGAATTTAGATGTCTGGATGACACAAGAACAGCCTTAAAGAATATGCAAGAGACATCCAGTGGCCCCCAATGCCTAATAACTAAGGATACAATTTCATCACATAGGTCATGTGACTTTAACAGACCTCTGAGACTTTTTAGGCTTCAGCCCCCGCTACCTGCAGCAGCAGGACTGGAGGAGCTGCTGCTCCCTTCCCAGCGGCGAGGCTTGGACTGTCAGTTCCCTCCTCCCCCATGGACAGATCGCGGGCTTCCATGAAATTTGGTTTATTGCCCACAATCTGTCTATGACTTTTACTAAAAATAACCATGACAAAATCTTAATCTTACTAATAACCAAGCACAGGAATTCTAAAAACACCTTTCTACATAAGCACCAGTTTTTGCCATCTACTTAGAGACCAAGAAGATGAATTTTAAGCAGTAGAATTTTGGAAGCTTTGCTGGAGCGGCTTGATAAAATACTCCCATAACAATAATACCAATACAAAACAATCTCCGTGGTATCTAAATGCAGGAACACACATTCTAAAATTCAGAGAATAATCTCATAAAACACTTTCACAGGCTTTGGGGAAGGGACAACACATAAATATTTTAAGCATTTTTGCTACATTTGTGATACAGTCCAATTTTTAAAAAATAATACACAGCCAGATACAAAAATACAGAGCTTTGGAGGGAGGGAGTCACCAGTGTTAGGAAGGGGAGAAATTTAAATAAATCAATATTAATAGTACAAAAGAAGAGGCGACAAGAGGCTGGTGGGATGACCTAGCACGATGCACACAACACATTTAGGGATACCAGCATTAGATTCCCATTCCTCAGGCTTACAGGGGATAGAAGAAATTCAGCCCAGGTCGGCTAAGAAAGAGTATTGATAGACTCAAGGGAAAACGGAATCAGATTCTCAAACATCAAAACCCCAGAGGCAGAGGTGGATGTAACAAAGCAAAGACTTCCAGTCTTCAGTAGCTGAGAGAATTCACCAGTCAAAGTGGTATATTACTTCTGAGGGCATTCTGCGCCAAAAAAAAAAAAAACAATATTTTTAAATTCTGCAAATTTTATTGGTCAAATAAATGTGGAGGCTCCAGCATGGCATTGGGGAGCACAGGCCACTGGCTGCACAGATCACTGTGCAGCTCCCCTTCTGGGACACGGACTCAGCGGTGGGGCTGTACCCATCCCTGGCACAGCGCAAGGACCGGGCCTACCCTAGAGACACCTCAAAGCCCTGCCCCTCCATGCCAGGTGCACCAGGTGTGGGCAGGCAGGCTCAGCAAGGCAGGATCCAAGAGTGGAGGGGCTAAGTGTGGGGGATCCAGGTGTGGGTTGAGAGGGTTCTGTGTGGGGCAATCGGGGTGTGGGTGGCTCAGATTCAGGTGCAGGGGGATCTGGAAGCACAGGGGCTTGTTGAGGGGTTCTGGGTGCAACGATAATGGGACTCTGCGGGGGGTCCAAGTGAAGGTGGTTGGGGCTCAGGGGGGGGGTCGAGTGTGGGTGGGGATAGAGCTCAGCAGGGGGGTCTGGGTGTGGGGGGTCCAAATGCTGGGAGAGTGGGGCTCAATAGGGTTGGGATCCAGGTGCAGCTGGTTGGGGCTTGGTAGAGGGGGATCTGGATGCGGGTGGCTCATCGGGGTGGTCCAGGTGCAGGGGGAGTGGGACTCGTCTGGGGGTTTCTGGGTGTGGGGGGGAGGGGTGTGAGGCTTGGCAGGAGAGTCTGAGGGGGTTTGGATGCATGTGGGTTGGACGGATGGGAGAGCAGCTCCCTGTACAATGATCCCTCGCCCTGCAGCTGAGGAGCGATGGGTGCAAGAAGCGCGGGGGTGCAGGAAGCGGGGGGGGGGGGAGGGAGAGGAAGGGGGAATTTGCAGAGCTTCCTACAGCCAGGGGAGAAATCTGGGAGTGGGTCTGACCCAGCCCCAGATGCCATGCAGGGGAAGAGGAAGTCCCGTCTTCCCCAGCCCGGACTGGCAGCTAAGCCCAGCGCAGGGTAGGAGCCACCAACCACGTCTTCCCCAGCCCCGCCCCCACCCCACATTGATTTACCTCTCTGCTGGCTGTCCTGGGCACCCGAAACATACTGCTGGGGAGGGTCGCATGACTGCTTTTGTGGCTTCCCTTTGCTTCCCCATCAGAAAGTTATTTTTCTGCAGGGAAACAAAGAAATCTGCAGGGGACATAAATTCTGCACATGCACAGTGGTGCAGAATTCCCCCAGGAGTAGTATATGTGGCTTTAGAAGATAGGCTCCCATTCAATATCAATGGAGCCAGTGGTCTCTGGACAGCTAAATTGATGCATATAGACAACATTTAACTGTGTACTGCTTCCAGATATATTAAAAATGTTACTATAAAACACACAAAGAATACAGCAGTAACAATCACTAATGGAGGAGTTCATTCAATGGGTATCTCCATTAACTCAGCATTTATCTCCTTAGCCCCCAGCTTCTGAAATCTACATAGAAATAATATTGGGCCAGAGTCCAATGCCTAGCATGAGTAAAGGTAGCACCTAACTTATGAGTAATCCCACTGACTTGAACTGGGCCATTCTTGGAGTAAGGTACTGTTCAACATAAGGGCATAATAATTTGGGCCATTGTGATCTCCCATATAGCATGCAGTTAATGCATCACCATTGTTCTGCAATATCTATCTATCAAAGGAAATTTTATATTTGAAGAAAAGCCAACATATTAGATTTCAAGGACGTCCAATTGGAGCATGATGCAATGGGAGAAAATATTACATTCCAAAATATATGAAGGGAAGGCTGAAAAATTATAAAACACCATAATTAAACAAAAGATACAACTTCTCTGTGTGTCTGGGGGAGCGGGAAAATAAAATACGTCTTTATGAGGGAATGCTTGAAGGTCTGATGAACCTGCCCTTGGAACAGTGTGTTTAATTCTGGACATTGCTTCAGACAGATATTAAATTGGAAGGAATTCAGTGTTGAGCAACAGAATGATCAGGGGGCTGGAAAAAGACTTAAGAAAAGATTAAAGGAACTTGACTAGGAGAAAAGCAAAATCTGTAAATACAAAGGTAAGGGAAGGACAATGGAGACTGGTATAGAAGTATTGCTCTGAGCAATGAGGTGAAATAAGGAGAGCTTGAGTTTAAATCAGGAAAGATACCATGACAGTAAGATTTGTTCAGCTGGGGAATCATCTCCCAAAGGAAGTGAAGGCAGCTCCTTTCACTTGGGATATTTAACATAGGCCTGGACAAAGCATTAGAAATTAAACAATAGGGAACGATCTTGCACTGTCCGATGAGCAGATAACTCTTTTATATCACTAATTATAGTCACCAGTTCAGAAACTACAAGTATTCATGACCTCATTTTCTTTATATCCCATTAAAAATAACCTGTGTTATGCACGTAACTTCCTTTGCTAGTTTATCTTCTGAAACAAGGTGTGTCTTATTTAGACAATATTTATGCTTTCTAGTAATCAGTACCTCTATTCAGCTCCACCCGGTGAGCGGTACATGAATTCATCCTCATGTTTAAGCAACGTGTATTTCACTGAACAGCAGATGAGAATTCAACCCTAGGCTCAGAGATACCCCCACAACAAACCTTATTTACAGCTAACAAGATTGAAGAAATACATCTGCATATGGAAGATTACTCTTTTCTTTAAAAGGGAGACAACTAAGCTCTGGCTCTTGGAAGCATGCAGGAGAGAGAAGAGTGCCAATTTCCTTACCTGTGGGAATTTGCGTTTGATAGATGTCAGGGCTCCCTCTGGTAGCTTGGCCAGTTCAGAATCTCGGACTGCATGTACTGTTGTGGCTCTAGGCTGATGGGTTAATGCCTCCACCTGCCAGAGGAGAAAGAGAAAATACAGTGAAGACTTCAAAGGTAAATCTTAGAGCATTGCCCAAATAAAAATGCAACAAAGCAGAACAGAACCACCTGATCACTGGAATCAGCTTTACCCATCTCTGGCCTTTCCCTTCCCCCCTAAGTTTTTGATAACATGTACTTAAGTAGAACAAGCTGCCCAGTGCTAGTGAGTGGTCTTGTGTTGATACCTTACTGTACCCACATCCAGCTGCAGGAAAACCATTCAGTTAATCAGAGTCTTTGACAAATGAGCATTTCCTCATCTAGGTAGATTGCTGTTCTTCATGGAACTAAACTCGACACTAGTGGGAAGTTAGGCTGAATATGTTAAAGGAGAAAAATTCCCTTTGAACTTCGATAAATTCCCACACACTGACATATATAAGAACAATGTGCAAAAGGAAAAGAGTTTGGTAATTACACTTTTTTCATCAGTGCAAAAGCTTATAACTATATGAGTGATCATATTATCAGAGTCAGAAAAGATGAACAGATAGGGGAATGTGATGAAGTAGGAATTTTCTGTAATATTTTTATTAATCCCATGCATGACTCAGTTTCCCCCTGTACTTTACATTGCTACCCAATGAGGGCTAAAGGGTTAAGTCTGTGTGACGGGTTGGATCACAGAAACCCCCTGGGAGCTGCCACCTGATGTGCAAAGACTACCTCTGCTCCTGTTTTCCCTGCCAGCTCAGGACTCCAGCACCCTGTCTTGCTGAGCCAGACACTCCCGTCTGCTCCAGCACAGACCCAAGTGATTTTATTAAATACAGACAGTAGGATTTAAGTGGTTCCAAGTAGTAACAGACAGAACAAAGTAAGTCACCAAGTAAAATAAAATAAAATGCACAAATCTATGTCTAATCAAACTAAATACAGATAAAAAGCAACAGAGGGTCCTGTGGCACCTTTAAGACTAACAGAAGTACTGGGAGCATAAGCTTTGGTGGGTAAGAACCTCACTTCTTCAGATGCAAGTAATGGAAATCTCCAGAGGCAGGTATAAATCAGTATGGAGATAACGAGGTTAGTTCAATCAGGGAGGGTGAGGTGCTCTGCTAGCCGTTGAGGTGTGAACACCAAGGGAGGAGAAACTGCTTCTGTAGTTGCATAGCCATTCACAGTCTTTGTTTAATCCTGATCTGATGGTGTCAAATTTGCAAATGAT